TGTATAATAGAACAGTTCTGCTGTGCTGCCTGGCATGTGCGCCAACACATTCCATGACTTGGAAGGGAGCCGTGCTCTAGAATGTCAGGGTTCTGTCTGATCCAAAACATTTTGGGGCCATAGAGTAGACCTATGATGCAAAATGCAGGAATTAATCAACAAAAGACTGTCTGACACTTCACTAATGATGCAAATACTGAAGAAAAATGGCATGGCTCAGACACACCAGAATTCTGTATCCGAGAAATTGGTTAGGACCAAGACATGGTAAAAATATTTACCAGCCTATACAGATATAGGTAACTTAATGAGACAAAATACCTCCTGTAAGATCAGCAATTCCAGAAAGTTTGGTTACTGCCAATAAAGGAGGTTTTATATATGGGATCACAGATTTTCCATGAAAGACCTTAATAGTTTGTGATCTGCTCAAAGGCTATGTTCACCTTTTGTAAGAGAAAAAAAAAAAAAAAGTTATGCTCTGAATCAGCTCTGTGAGCTCACCTCGCGGAGCTCTGCAATATGCTGGAGGTCCCTCCCCTAAACATCATTTTTCTTTTGGTGTCAGGAAATTTGTCAGAAGGGATTCATGCTGATAGCAGACAGAAATGACACTTAGTGCTGTTAACTGAGACAAGTACACACTATAGAAGGATATGGTTTGTTCATATTTCATGTCTGAGGTTTACAACTACTTTAATGCTTTGTGAACAGAGGTCACTGATGCCTAGATGGCCAGAAAAAAATCGACTAACTACATCAAGCAACATAAAAAGGCTTTTATTTGCCATGTTTAAAAAGAAAAAAAAAAAAAAAATACCCTGATCAGATTTATTATAGGCTGAAATATGAAAAATAAATGAAACCTTTATTAATAAAACACTGTACTGTCACAGCAAGTGTTTTGAGAAAGACATATGCTGCCAGCTGTCACTGTTTATTAACAAAGTCAAGTGATCGTCCTATAAAATCGCTGACATGGTGGTCCTATGATCAGAAGCCACGCGGATTACCTTTTTATTGTTTTGTAGAGACTGGGAGCAGTCAGTGGCAGTGTGATCGTACACCTAAAATGGCACAGCCTTCTTTTGTGAAAAGTCTATTTAAAATAACACCAAATTCCACTGTTAGAAAAAAATCTCTCTAATTCAAGTATATCGTCTGTTAGAAGGGGACTACATCTGTACTAAATGCAGCCACCCTCTCTTTTGCTGGCTCCGGACTATGGGGTAAAGTGAAATGCACATGACCACATATAATGGGCACAGTTCGTTCCAAAGAAACAGAAGTGAGGGGGGAGAAGAAAAAAGGAGAGGCTCAAGAGCTCACGGAGAATGTGACAAGGTGGCAGAAAAACAGCAAGAAAGGATTTAATATAAACTAGATTACGGGGCCATTACATAATGAATGTGTATGGATTAGTTTCATTTTAACAGCTCAAGCTGAAATCTACACACATAGCATTCACTCCTCCCGCCACAATTTTTTTTTTTTTTTTTTACAAACAACTTGTCTAAATTGGAAACTTGTGTTTTGTTTTTTTGCAGTGGCATGGGTGCATGCGGTATAAAATAATAGTGATACAAAGAGATGTTGTGTTTTTAAAATATAAAACATAATTTATGTCCTAAATATAAATAAACAGCGCAAACATAGACCTCTATATCAAATCAATATACAAAGTGCAAACATATATAGAAAATTATATTAATAGTGAAGTCCATCATGGTTAATAGACAACAAAAGTTCAGAAATCTCAAAAAATATTTTGTGCAAAAAATTTTTTTTCAAATTCTTCTTCTAATATAAAGAAAAAACTTCCACCTTCCACCCGTGCAAACCAACATCAAATGCACTCACCAGATTTAGGTGAATGAAACGCCTTTTAGGAATTATTATGGGATCCCAAACCCTCTTTCGCATCCACTCTACAGGAATCCTCACCTTCAGTGTAGGCTCCACCATACAACCGGGGAGAGAAAAAATCTCAGATAGTGTAATATTGCAAAATACCATTTATGAATAAAATCAAGGATTAAGGCCACTCACATTTAAATCACTTTAAAAAGGCATATTTATTAGGACAAGCTTCTTCCAAATGGACAATGAATGTAAGACAACCTCCCACGGATTCTCACATCACAGCTCCAGGATACAGCAGAAGCTCCAACAGAGACCAAACATGCACAGATCCCAAAAGATGGCCGCTGGAACGCACCGCTCGGCGTGCGCTCCACTCACCGGAAGTGACGTCAGACGTACGGGGTAACAACCGGAAATGCGTCAACGCGTTTCGCCCCTCCCATCGGTCTTGAGAACGCCCGATGGGAGGGGCGAAACGCGTTGACGCATTTCCGGTTGTTACCCCGTACGTCTGACGTCACTTCCGGTGAGTGGAGCGCACGCCGAGCGGTGCGTTCCAGCGGCCATCTTTTGGGATCTGTGCATGTTTGGTCTCTGTTGGAGCTTCTGCTGTATCCTGGAGCTGTGATGTGAGAATCCGTGGGAGGTTGTCTTACATTCATTGTCCATTTGGAAGAAGCTTGTCCTAATAAATATGCCTTTTTAAAGTGATTTAAATGTGAGTGGCCTTAATCCTTGATTTTATTCATAAATTATATTTTGCAATATTACACTATCTGAGATTTTTCTCTCCCCGTTTGTATGGTGGAGCCTACACTGAAGGTGAGGATTCCTGTAGAGTGGATGCGAAAGAGGGTTTGGGATCCCATAATAATTCCTAAAAGGCGTTTCATTCACCTAAATCTGGTGAGTGCATTTGATGTTGGTTTGCACGGGTGGAAGGTGGAATTTTTTTCTTTATATTAGAAGAAGAATTTGAAAAAAAATTTTTTGCACAAAATATTTTTTGAGATTTCTGAACTTTTGTTGTCTATTAACCATGATGGACTTCACTATTAATATAATTTTCTATATATGTTTGCACTTTGTATATTGATTTGATATAGAGGTCTATGTTTGCGCTGTTTATTTATATTTATCACATTTTGTGTTCATCACATTGCACAGCAGCAGGATAGATCCTGTAGTAGGGTGTTTCACTTGGCGCAGGAAGAATTTTTTAGTTTTAATAATTTATGTCCTATTTAGTAGCCTGCATGTCCACACTGCTAAGCCCACATTACAGGCCAATGTGATCAAATAAGTGTCAAAGCTTGTACCGCTGTCAGACATCATAGTCAGATCAACAATTTTGCCACCGCCAACAAAGCGATTCAGCTTGGGCAAGACTAAACAAAATGGACATGGGTTAGCGAAGGACTATTCATTGCTTACTCAGCTTGCTTCTACAGTCCTTTCCTCTCCCAGTCTGAATACTGATGTGTAGGGGGCACAGGTGGTTGCACAAAGATTGAGATGCCATTTAAAAATACATTTATGTATTTTTTTTAAGATACAAATTGCTGGATTAAACCTTTTGCTGCTAGAGCCATTTTTTGCACACATTAAAACAATATTTTAGACCTGAGGATTAGTTAAAACCCTCCCAAACAGCATACATTTTCAGAAAGTAGGGACCCCGAAGAATAAAGTGGTGGTAGTTCAGATTTGTTATGTTGCATGAGATTAGTGAACTTTTTCAGTAAATTCTACACTTGCGTTAAGTTTGGTACACAAGAATGCAATATATTCTCAATTTTTGGTAAATTATAAAAGATCAGGATGCGCTGAGAAAACAGGTACCCAGCATGCAAGCCTTAAAATTGTGACAAACTTTGGTACACAAAATTTTTCAGTCAACACTTTAAAAACCCTTACAGATTAGAAGTATAAAGCTGAAGTGAAGAATAATGACCCTAGAATTATTGTTCCCACTCACCAATGTACCATGGGGTCAGTGGAAGCAATCTGACAGTTTTCAGGTGGAAGTAATGGGGTGGCTGTAGAGCCAACAGTTGGCTTGTCAGATTTACAAACCGTGTGTGTCTGTGTAAAAACCCCCCTCTCTGCTGCCAATGTACAACATACATAGGTGGTAGTAAAATGGTAAATGGAAATCTTTTATACTTGCCCACAATTAAAGCAATAAAAAGATAAGGATCTGTGCTTCCCCTACTTGTTGCGGATTTTACCCCTCTTCCTGCCTGACTGTTAGAACATTCACCTCAATTACTGTCACATTGACAGAGACACGAACAACAGTATAAGCTGAACAGGGGTTCTAATCCTGCAACACCATATAAAACAGAAAAAGTTTGATTAGACATAAAGTGTGGACTTTAAATAGGGCAATTTAAATGATTGAATTAGAGGGAAAAACAAACACATTTCATTAGCCATTCATACATAACATTTGAGGTTCAATGACTTCCACCTGTACGTGTATGTTTCATGTGATTAGCAGAGTTTCTAATATTCTGTGTTGAGCTGGTTTATTTTGCACAGCTAGATGGCTTTTTGATAAGGGGCTGCCTGCAGTGTTATTCACTGGTATTTTTCTCAACCCAATATGGTTGATCAAAGAACACCTTTGTAATCACAGTGTGACATAACTTTCTCTGTAGGTAGGTGAGCCTTTGCAGACCTTCATTACCTGTCCTGTTAGGTTTTGGCTCTTCAATTAACATCAAATTTGAAATGCAGAATTCCAAAGCCAAAAACCAGAATGATCTCAATATAAGTCCAAATCAAAAAAACTGTATAACGAAGTAACTGGTTGAACACGTTTTTAGTGCAAAATCTTAAAAAAAATGTTTCAGTATTTGGAAGATTGTTTTCTTGGGAAACATTACAGAATGTTGAATTATTCTTGAACAAAAAGAAACCATTTCTTCCTGATAGGGCACAAACTCTAATATTGATTTCCTCACAATCACTTCAGTGATTAAGGTATTTCAAAGTTCTTCCCCTCTTAAAAGGAAATAAAACAGCTAGGAAACAGTTGCAGAGATTAGTTCTCTGTACAGGTCAAATCTTAACTTGCCAAGGTAAAGAGTTCAAGGAGAAGTAAAACCTTCTGGACTTCCATCCACCTCCCGTTAACGGTGACCAGTGTATGCTTTGAACCACGAGGTGACTGAAGCGGCAGCAGAGGAAATCATACCTCCCGCACTACTGCTGGCTATAGGTTGAGACATCATTGTACTCTGACTGTCCAACATCTCAAGTGGCTGGGAGGGGATATCACAGAATTTGGGGCTTGGCAGGTTCTCCCAATCAGTTCCTAAATCTGTCTCTTCATCACTTATATGCTCATCTCCACTCTCATCACTCTCGCCGGCTCCGCTTGGATCTACAAATTCCATAGAGTCTTCCAGATCAGCGCTAATTTCAAATGGCCCGGACCTAAAAAAGAACACATGTTCAATGCAGAAAAAACAAAAAATAGTTTCCTGGCTGTATACAAACCCCACTGACTTCCAAAACTAATCTAGAACTAGTTGGCAGGTTTTCATATAATAACAGCTAATATTTTTTAGGAGGTCAGCAATGGCAGCCTACATGTTTCTCTTGAGAAGGTTTGCTGAAATAATGTAACATAGATCCATGTTAACTATAGCTAAAGTTGCATGCACATTTATTCCCACAGCTGTACAATGCCTGTCCAGAACATAGATGGCAGTAATTAGGAGTATTTATCTGACAACATCATCAGTATTTGCTGCCATGTCCCTAATACTCAGGGCCCAGTCCCTTGCAGCAAGCCCTCAGGGCCCAGTCCCTTGCAGCAAGCCCTCAGGGCCCAGTCCCTTGCAGCAAGCCCTCAGGGCCCAGTCCCTTGCAGCAAGCCCTCAGGGCCCAGTCCCTTGCAGTAAGCCCTCAGGGCCCAGTCCCTTGCAGCAAGCCCTCAGGTTAAAGTGGTTGTACAGGCTTAAGGTTATGCCTGTACAATGCATGAAAGTAAAAAAAAACCCTTCCTTAAAGTGATATTAATAAAGTTCAGCTTTTGCTTTTTTAAATAACAAACCTGTCATACTTGCCTGCTCTTGTCAATGGTTTTGCATAGAGCAGCCCTGATCCTAGTCTTCTCGGTCCCCTGATGGTGCTCCTGGCTGCTCCCCTCTGCTGAGTGCCCCATAGCAAACCACTTGTTCTGGGGACACTCATGCGCATGCTCCTGAGCCGCCTCTATAAGACACACAGAGCACGGCTTGGCCCCCTCCTCACTGGCTGCTTGACAGCAGTGGGAGCCATTGCAGCTGCGGGGGGGGTGAACATACAGCGGTTACTGATGCTCAGTGTGGCTGTGAGAACTCAGCGATAAGCAGTCATGTGATCGCTGAGTTCTCACTTGGAGCAGGGGACAGATGCAGCATTGGATGGATGCTGCATCCACCTAGGTAAGTATAGCTGGGGGGGAAAAAAAATAGAAACCCATACTTCTCTTTTAAAAGACACTGGTGAATAAAAATGATCTGGCTTAAATGATTTTATCAGAGACATCTGGCTAACAGATGTGGAAATACATGTGCATCAACTCAAAGCTGGAAGAAAAAACAATGACGCATGCACACAAGGAGAACTTTATAATATACATACACACACTTTATCTGATATCTACAGAAATGTTTTTCCGTTTTTACAACCGACGATCAGAGGCTCACAATTCAGGTAAGTCTTCACAAGCCAATATACTGCTGAGCTCAAAGCCCTTTTATAACAGAACACTATTAAGGTATATTGCTACAGCTATGGAACAGTTGCAGCTGTCAGATTTTATTCCTCAGAAACTGATGGCCAGTGCTACCACTGTTCACATGTAACTGCTCACTCTAGTGGTTACATGCATGGACCACAACAGTGACCCTGCCTATGCTCCAGGGGGCCCCTACGGGCCAGACACCAACAAAGCCGGCCGGGGTTGCAGCTGGCTACACAGGAGTGTCCCGCCTGCCTCCATTCCCACTGACTTCACTCGGCAAGTGGTGTTGAGGACGGCTGGATCTTATGGAGTTAAGGGGGGACTTTGGTGTTTGACTTCCCCCTCCCTTCCCCATGGATGCTATTCCCGTTAGTAAGCTCCTCCCACCATCCTCAGTCTCAGGACATGCAGTAGAGCTGCGCCTACCCTCACAACACACTGCTGAGATTGGATTATTGCACAGAATCTGCAGTGTGTGTGTAAGCTGGCTGTTGGCTGCTGCAGTTCGGACCTATGAAATCCCCAGATAGGAAAGGCAGCAGAGCTGCAACAGCCAGCTACACACTGTGCAGATTGAGGCTGTGCCTGTAAAACAGTCCAACCTCAGCTGTGTGCAGTGTGGGCAGGAGCAGCACTGCTGGGACCCCTGCCAGCCGTGACACCATCCTCACCACTGTTCCAGGAATTGGGACTGATCTGCGATGTAAAGGTGCACACATCGGGGTGATGCCTCAAATCCTGTGAAGGTCCAAGAATTGGGGCCATCTGAGGTGTGAAGGTGCAGAAATTAGAATGATTTGAGGTGTGAAGGTACAGAAATTGGGGCTGACTTATTGTTGCCGTCCGGCCCTGTGTGCTCCTGTGGCTGCATCACCCAGTCTACAAGATATAGTGTTTTTGCAGAGTAGGGTGGAGGCAGTGCTCCAGTCATCAGCTATGATATCTCAGTGACTGAGGGAGTACATTCACTATAGACTTCATTTAAAGGAAAGAAAAAAAAAAAATCCCACAACCACTGTGACACTTTAACACCCTCCCCCTTTCATTTTTTTTTTTTTTTTTTTTTTTTTTTAAATCAGATCCTTTTTTTTTTATTGAAAGTTGGGTCTATACACATATAATTGTTCAATTACAAACTCCAATATAATATTACAATAATACAGGGTTAATCTACAACTGCAGTGCTCAGGGAGTATACAGCACAGTATATGAAAGTCATGAGCATAGATCCCAAAACAAGCTTTTTTGTTAGAAAAAAAAAAAAGTGTAGAGAAAAACAAAGTAAAAAGACAAAAAGAAACACAACGGTGAAAATCAACATTCTTCAAGTAAACTGAACCTTAATAAACAAGCTGCCTCAGCATATCCATTTTCAGGGGTTTGAGTAAAGGCCTTATGCCTGTAGGAGGAACATTCAGCATACATGTCGCTCTAGTGCCTATCTAAGGGTGAATGAAATACAAGATGGAGATTAGGGATGTTTGTGATAGTTTTAGACTATTATTCATGTAAATCTATTCTACAGACAATACACTAAGTATGGGGTAGGGGTAATGTCACATCAAACCAGAAGAGACTCCTCCACTTCGTATTCGGTCTCTGACTAGTTTGCGTGATGCTAGTCCCGGTGTGCTTAACCATGCGTCCCAAATAGATTCATTTCTCTCTAAGGTATCAGTGACAGATTTACTCCATGTCACATGAGAAGGGGGTGCATTTCTGGGCTAGGAGTTTCTGGCCAATAAACACTCGAAGAATTGCAATGAAAATATGCAGGGTATAGAGTTCCTCATCCCCATTTCAGTTTTACCTACACAGGGTGAGGGGGCAAGCCCTTTCCTCCACTTGTACACTCTGCTCAGCCCCCCCTGTCCAGCCCAATACAGCCCCTCCCTGCTCAGCCCAGCACAACTGTGCCCTTACATACATGGTGGGGGCAGGCAGGCCACACTCTGAGGTACCAGGTGAAAGCAGTGGGCTTGAATGCGAATCTGGAAATCAGAGGGTCTGCTGTGAGGTTTAATGTTGATAAATGTAAGGTTATGCACTTGGGGGCTAAGAATATGCATGCATCATACATACTGGGGGGGGGTACAACTGGGGGAATCAATGGTGGAGAAGGATCTGGGGGTTCTGGTAGATCACAACCTTAAAAGGGTTACTAAACCCACAACAGTAAAATCAGTCTGTATATGCAGTGAAGCATGCTTGTTATACTCACTGTGCAACCTAAGGGGTTAATCCTCTGCATTGTGTAAAAAGGCCGTTTGATCCTGACTTCTCTCCCTCCCCTTTTGTTCAAAATGTCCACATCTTATCTCCTGATAAAACAGACTGAACCATAGCTATTTGCACATGCTCAGTTTAGTGTGTATTGCTAGAGGTTTCTTTTTTACCTTGGGAGAGTGCATGTGATCAGCACAGGGCCAATCAGCACTGTCCAAACAGAGGTCAGGGGTTCTGCATTCTCCTAGAGCAGAAAGAAAACTCCTCATACAAGATTTAACCAGTGCTCTGCTGAACACTGATAGAAGTCACAAGACTGCGTTAACTGCTGAGGAGAAAAAGGTATTTAGCAGTTTGTGTTTACTAAAATAATTGCATTTCCATGATGTGTGTACTGTGGGAGACCATACATATTGAATGCAGGGTTCAGTTTTGGGCACCAATTCACAAAAAGAACATTGGGGAACTGGAGAAAGTATAGAGAAGGGCAACCAAACTGATAAGAGGCATGGAGGAGATCAGCTATGAGGAAAGATTAGAGGAACTGAATTTATTCTCCCTTGAGAAGAGAAGATTAAGGGGGGATATGATCTCCATGTATAAATACATCAGTGGTTCATATAGTGAACTCGGTGTAGAGCTATTCACCCTGAGGTCATCACAGAGGACAAGGAGGCACTCTTTACGTCTGGAGGAAAAATAAATTTTATCCCCAAAGAAAGGTTTCTTCACAGTGAGAGCTGTGAAAAATGTGGAATAGACTCCCTCAAGAGTTGGTTCTGGCCAGCTCAGTGGATTGCTTCAAAAAAGTCCTGGATTCTTTCTTGGATACACAGAATATCACTGGATACTAACATTTATAGGTAAAGTTGATCCAGGAAATATCCGATTGCCTCTCGGGGGATCAGGAAGGTATTTTTTCCTCTGCAGGAGCAAATTTGGTCATGCTTTGCTGGGGTTTTTTTTTTTTTGCTTCCTCTGAATCAACTGTGGGTAAAGGATTATGACTTTTTTTTTCTTTTCGTTGAACTTCACAGACCTTGGTCTTTTTTCAGCCAGACTAACTATGTAACTATGCGGAGTTTCCACCACTTTAAGCCAGTAGCTAAGAGTGTGGCTTGCCTGCCTCCACCTTGAATGCAGCTAATTGGCCAGGTTGTATGTGGCCATAGCACAGAGTGTTTGCTGTGCCCAGAGATAGCATTTATCCGCCTCTGAATACAGAAACTATTCTCCCTAGCCACCTGTGTGAATGAAACCTTATGTATTTTTTTTTTTATAAATATAAGCAGTACAAGTACAAGAATTTGATGTGGTATCAGCCTACTAATAACATTTTACACTGTAAGTGGAGTCATCCACCTGGCTGTGCTGCGTGGCAGTGCAGTGTAAATGTCAGGTCTGCATAGACAAAAATACAACTTTTCTGGAGGTAAAGCAGCTCCCATATATTTGGTATATGCTTATGTTGCCTGGAGCTCAGCTTTAATTCCAAAACAAGACCAGTGGCTATGGAAGACTACAGTCAGATGTTGTTTCGACCAATCACAACAGAACACCTTCTCATTTCATACAGGAAACCGCAGAGGTTTCTGTTCTGAGCCACCAAATCTCCATAAGTATTGTCAACCTTCAGTTGGAAGGTCGTTCTAAGAAGCAACAATTTTCAGTTATGTGGAACAGAAAAAGAAAACAATTTCACCTCACCTTCCCAGGTTTTCACTGTCTGGACTGACCAAGTACATGAGATTCCTGAGTGTATGTAGTGGGTGCAGGAGGTCCAAGTCCACGTGCTACAAAGAGATATTCAGTCAGAACAGTGAACAATGGTAACACACAGTGTTTGGTAAACCAATGGTGCAATTTTAAATGGCATCCCAACAGTCAATAAAATAGTCATATCCGCCTATAAAATTTCCCTGATATTTAGATGGTAGGCCAACAGACTGGCTAGGAACATCAGTGAAGCAGGGTGAATGTGACTACAACTGTGAGGTAGGGTAAAAAAAACAAAAAAAAAAAAAAATTGAATTCTATTCAAGCTACTTTTTTGGTCAACGTTTTTTAAATTTCCTAAACAAATGTTTAGTACAGAAGTGCCTCAATTAGAGAGCTAACCATATTGGGAAATTTCAGAACTTCCTGCTTGCTTGTTAGTCTGTGTGCGACTGGCTAAGCCAGGTGAAACTGCATCTTTGGGATTAAAGGAAAAAGCAAGTGTCCTCCCCAACCACCCATACTGCAGCCCATGAGAGGGGAAGGAGAAATTTCCTCCTCCATGACGCACTCTGCAGCCTGTGTGAGGGGGAAGGTTCATTTTTGTAACCCACTCTATAACCCAGCCTATGAAAGATGTAGAAAACACATTTTATGATTCTTTTATTGTGGCAGTCACTCTGCATATGCGAGAAGCTCGTTTTCTTTAACCACTTCTAGTCCGGCCCGTGTATATATAAACGGTCAGACAGGAGCAGTGCAGGAGCGGGTTGCCGTTGATAAACGGCGCCTGCCATTTTAGCCTGTGTGCGCTCCCTGGGAACACCGATCGCTGTACGGGACCTCTGTGTGAAGTCCAGATCATGTGATCACTGATTGGCCCATCAGTGATCACATGAACAGTAGTAAACAAGATGTCACTTCCTGACATCACTGCTTACTACTTGTGAAATCTGTGAATGATCACAGACGTCACATGGTACAAGGCTATTCACAACAGCCTTGTACCATGTGACAAGCTGTGACCAATCACAGCTCTCACAGTATTTCTCAATGGCTGCAAGAATGCAATCAGAGAGAAGGAGAAATGATTGTTTTTTAGAGCGTTTATGGGTGTAAAAACAATCAGTGTAAAAAAAATAAAATAAATAATCTTCATCACTATGGTGACACTATACTGCTAGGGTGACAGTATGTTAAAAAAAAATCTCTAAAAAAAAATTATAAAAAAAAAATGTAAAAACTATTTTTGAAAATTATAATTTTTGATTATAAACTAATTTGGGTTGTTTTTTTTTTTTACTATAAAGAAAGCTGAATACATTTTGACCAAGACTGATGAAGAAAGTTTATTTGCAAAATTTTATAAGAAAAACTTTTTTTTCATTTATATAGCAAAAAAAAAAAAAAAAAAATCCCAGTGGTGAATAAACACCACCAAAATAAAGTTTTATCTGTCTCAAAAAAATGCTAAAAAATTAATATGGGTGCAGTGTTGCATGACCGCGCAATTGTCATTCAATGTGTGACAGCACTGAAACATGAAAATTGGCCTGGACAGGAAGGGGGTGAAAGGGTTCAGTTAAAGTTTCTTGAAGTGGTTAAACTGTTGGCACTTACTACCTACAGCAGCTTTCACACATCCACTACTGCTGAATGCCAGGTTGGTCTGAATGGGCAAAGTTCTGGCACTTGTAGTTACTGAGCGTGATTGCCCGCTTCAGACATCACACATTTCTCCATTGCTTCTCCAGGCTTCAGTGCACGGTCTCAGAACAAGTCTCAACATAACCTCTCCGTAAAGGTTCTTTAAATAAAATATTGTAATTGAATGTTATTAAAAATTGGGGTAAGGAAGAAGCCATCACTGGTTTTCTATGGAAAGGAGCTTGTCCTCCAGTTTTTCGTGGCATTATCTATCCTACGGGAAAGGACTAAACTCTATAGCCTTGGCTGCTGGTACTACGTCAGCTTCAGGAAGCCCTTGGCAAGTATTATGAAAATGCTTGCCAATGCTCCAGTCCACACTTGTTACAGGGCCTAAAAGCAATTATTAATAGGGCACTTGCTGCAAGCAAAAGAATTCACATCCCTTACACAGAAGAATATAAATATTGATATGAATAATATTCCTTCCTACGAAAAATACAACTAAATCACAGTGCATTTCAGCTTATTGTGCCAATCTTAGTACATTGCAATCAGCATGACAATGTAAGCATTTTTGGTGTTTTCTTGTTGTCCTACCTACCAGGAAGCCTGTCATTACACACGTCATCACATGGGCTTCCAAATGAGCTCACAAGTGTCCATTTCTACACACTACACAGGCATGGACCACTGTTCAGGAGCCATCAAGAAATGTGCTCCTAAAGATGCCATACAGCCATCATTGAGTACATGAAAACATTAATGGGCTGCATGGGAATAGCAGCACAGATCCTATTATGCATAAAAAATGTTGAGAACTGGAATTTTATGTAAAGGAAAATGGTAATTATTTATGATATGCAGTGGTTTAGAAAAACAATTTTTCTAAATTTCATTTAGTTAGGGCTTACATCTACTTTAATGAACATGCAAACCTTTTGCAATAGGAGGTCACTATGATAAATAAAGGTTGTCTGACAGCTAGAAAGGTTATGAATACATTGATACATACCTGCGAAAAACACAGATATAAGATGTTAGAATTTCAGTTTGTTCACTGCCCGGTTAAACTTCCATCTGCTCAAATTTTCTCCACAAAACTCACTAAAAATTGAACACACATATAGGAGATGCATTACAAATGTCAAATAGTTAGGTCATACTTTACATATGGATAGCTAGGTACACAACACCTAAAAGAAAATCAGGGGCAGGAGGGAAGGCGAGAATCCCTGACATCTTTTGTATTGCTGTCTGCAATCTTGCTGTAGATTTTCTCTCACTTCCTGTGTTGTGAAACTTGACATCAGGGAAATAAGTTGAGAGGAATTTCAAGAGCCCCGGATATAAAAAAAAAAAACAATAGGGCTTCTAATCCTTCCCAACACTATCCAAACACCAATTTTGGCCTGGACTTTAAAATGAGACCCAAGTGGTCATCTTATAGCTCAGCCTTGAAGGACTAGGCTTATACCCCAATTTTTTTTTTTTTTTTAATTTTCAATTTTCTCTCCAGAGTAACACAAAAGAGGCAACTCAATAAGGAATAAAGAATAAAAGTCACCCAATAGTGGTATTTAGTGGATTGGCGAGAAACATCACTTTATTTTCCATATGAAAACTTCTACTGTCTGTCCAAAGGGAAAATATATCTTCGATTTGCTCGAATAGCAAAATATAAACCTCAACCTACCTCTATTAAAACTAGAGTTTGGTTAAAATTTTGTTGTGGAAAAAGCATGAGGGACATCGCTTACTTCTATAAATTTATATCCTTTGTCCTGCTGCTTATTGTAGAAATCTTCCCTCCACTAACGCTGAATCACACAGTGGTGATCTTCCAGCACTGCAGGGGTTAATATCAGCAACTGCAAAGCATCAGCACTGGTTGCCATCCCTTTCATCATTCCTCACACATTCAGAGATCTCATAGTATTTTTTCCCCATTATGAAAATTGTTCAGTGAACAGAGTGGTGGAAGAATGCCAGGAACCATCTCCTCCAATCACAGATCGCTTTGCATTTTGAGAATAGTTCTCTGAATGGGCTAGAGAGGAGGAAGGGCAGAGTGAATGGTGCCGATGATTGGCATGTAAAAATTAGCCATCTTTGTATAAACGGCTACCTTTTATCATTGTGCCTTGATCCTCCAGTACTAACCACGGTTCTAGAAAATACCTAAAAACAAGGCTGCAGGCAGCATTTACAAAGAAGACAGTATGCGCATTCTTGCAGGTGGCCTTATTGTTGAGTGAGCTTCCACTTTGTGAAATGCTTTTCATACTTGCCTATTATACAGCTTTCTGGGAAGGTTGACGTTTAATATGTGTGACAGAGTATTGACCAGCTGGGTTGCATAGCATAAGGCGGCACTGATTGTGTATGCAGGATTATTGTGCTCCATTTCTGTACAAAAAATAAAAAGAAAAATCATTTTTATCTACAGTGTATAAACTGCAAACAAGCAAGATCATTTAGTAGTCGTTTAACATCAAAAAAAAATTTGTTCTTGGTAGAATAAACTAAAGACAGTAAAACTATACTGACTATAAGGAGACCGTGTATAGCCAGGGCCCACCTTCCTGCTCACATCCTAGGCAGAATGGCAGCTCTCTTGTCAATTGACTGTGCTGTATAAAACTATATTGGGGTGCAAAAGATGTGTGGAAAAGAAAAGCAAAGCCTGTAGGAAGGAACAGTGCATGTAACCATAAACAGCATGGTCCATATGTTCACAGGCCAAGCCGCCGAGCCATTGACAAGACAAGGATGCCAGTAACAGAGGTTTAGCAAGCAATGTAGCTATGTACAGATCATGCGAGAGCCATTCAGTAGGTAGAGTGTATATACACTACACAATTGTCAGGCTTGAACAAAGCATACCTCCAGACATTTTATAACTCTTAGTACAATACAATGCTGTCTAATTACTTTGATATGGAAAGAACAAGATGACTTTAGGTACCTCACCAAAATTACTACCCAAAGCTAACAAAGGGTTTTTCATGACAAAACAAATCCATTAAAAGGATATGATGGATAAGAAAAGACCACTACTGCTGCTGCTTTTTAAAAAGGCCTTTTCCCTCAAAATGGCTTGCCCTCTGAAGGCTGCACCCCCTTCTGGATCTAGTATGACACCTTTACTCGTGTCACCGTTTTGTACGTGTTTCCGCCAGCGGTCTACAGGGATGGTGTTAAGGAGCTGCCTGTGCCTACATGCATGGGCAGTCCAAGAAGAAACAAAAAACATGAGGAGGGGGTGCACATGCGCTGGGGCAAGACATGATGGGACTTCTAGTCCCACTGAACGAATCAAGGTCTAATAATGATGTAATGTGGGTGCTCTCCCTAACAGGAGGTTCGGGGAAACAGCACATTAGAGGCTGGATGGTGTGGCAGTACACTGAAAAGAAAGCAAGTGTATGGAAACGACTTAGGAGCCAAGAGCTTATTAAGCTGCACATTGCTAATGAATAGTATTGGGTTCCTGAAGAAAAAGGAGGCTTTAGTACTATTTAAAGCAGAACTACACTGCATCTGAGCACCACAAACCAAAGCCGCCATTTAAATCATTTTTACCACGCAAAGTAATCTCCCCCATCTATGTCTCCATGCTTTATTTATTAATCCCTGTGAAAAACACCTAGCATTTCTGGCCATGGCCATCTTGACTAAGGACAGATGATTAATGTAGCATTTACTTCCTGAAATCCATCTGTGCTTAGCTCAGGCATACAGGCAGGAGGGTGTGCTTAGCTGAGAAAACTCCTTCCCTCCTGAAGACTCCCAGGATGTATGACATAATTTGCCTAGGCCGGGAAACCAGGAAGTAATTAATGAAAAAAAAAAAAAAAAAGAAAAAAAAAAAAAAAAGTTTAACAATATGATATACTTTCCTATTAATTAATAATAGCAGCATAAGGATTACAAATAGTCAATGTTGATTGACAAAGTAAAGCTTTATCATACAGATGGGTCAGAATCTAAGAAATTTCATTTTTTTATAAAAATTGTTCATTGCATAGGTCAGGTCACATCCTATGGCTAGATGCAGGCATTCTGCTAAAAACACAATGTGTAAACCTATGATATACAAACAGAAATGATGTAACAGAGTAAAGGGCAGCATATATAATTACCAGGTCCCTGTGCACTCCTCTTCTCCTCCACCCAGTTGTAATAAGCAGAGTAATCCCCATTGTTGGGTAGAGTGATCCAAGGCCCAGCAATACTAATGCTGGTATCACCATTGTGATCATCACACACCCATCTGCCAGAAAGGTAGGTGGTCCTCCTAGCTTCTGCCAGCTTGCTCACAGTGCTAGAGGTCATTGCATTGTCATTCTCAAAGGACACATCTGCAGGATCCCTAAGAACAGAGACAAAATTACCTTGCTACAGATGGACATATTTAATTACATATCTTACAAACAATGGCAATAATTGAAACCAATCAGCAATCATCTATAAAATATTCCAACTAGATACAGTGGATATAAAAAGTCTACACACCCCTGTTAAAATGTCAGGTTTCTGTGATATAAAATTGAGACAAAGATAGATCATGTCAGACCTTTTTCCACCTTTAATGTAACCTTTAAACTGTACAACTCAGTTGAACAACAAACTGAAAAGGTAAAGAGAAGTAATATATATATATATATATAAATAAATAATAATAAAATGGTTGCATAAGTGTGCACACCCCCGCAGCGCTTCGCATCTGTGCGGTGTATCACATGTGATTCGCACAGGAACCGCACCGCATTTGTGTGCAGTGTGATTAGAGCCATACATTTTGTATGGCTCTAAATCGCACCTCACCCGCACCAAAAAGATGCAGGACCTTTTTTTAGGTCCGCACTAGAATCGGATCGCAGAGGTATTCACACCTATTTTGCAGACCGCTTTTGGGGTGTGTTAGCATACACCCCCGCAGCGCTTCGCATGAACGTGGTGCAATTCTGATGAAGTGCGGAATTAGCACTGAAAACACTGCAAATTCCACACCGCATCAGTGTGAACCAGGGTTTAAACGAATACTTTGATGAAGCACCTTTTGATTTGATTCCAGCACGAAGTCTTTTTGGGTATGAGTATCAGCATGACACATCTTGACTTGGAAATATTTGCCCACTCTTCCTTGAAAAAAACACTCCAAATCTGTCAGATTGCGAGGGCATCTCCTGTGCACAGCCCTCTTCAGATCACCCCACAGATTTTTGATCAGGTTCAGGTCTGGGCTCTTGCTGGGCCATTCCAAAACTTTCATCTTCTTCTGGTGAAGCCATTCCTTTGTTGATTTGGATGCATGTTTTGGATCGTTGTCATGCTGAAAGATGAAGTTCCTCTTCACGTTCAGCTTTCTAGCAGAAGCCGGAAGGTTTTGTGCCAATATTGACTGGTATTTGGAAGTGTTCATAATTCCCTCTACCTTGACTAAGGCTGCCACCACCATGCATCACTGTGGGTATGGTGTTCTTTTGGCGATGTGCAGTGCTGCTTTTGTGCCAAACATATCTTTTGGAATTATGGCCAAAAAGTTCATCCTTGGTTTCATCAGACCAGAACACATTTTCCCACATGCTTCTCGGAGACTTCAGATGTGTTTCTGTAAAATTTAGCCGGGCTTGGATGTTGTTCTTCAAAAGAAATGGCTTCCGTCTTGCCACTCTACCCTATAGCCCAGACATATGAAGAATACGGGAGATTGTTGTCACGTGTACCACACAGTCAGTACTTGCCAGATATTCCTGCAAGTACTGATATTCCTGGCAGCCTCCCAGACCAGTTTTCTTCTCGTCTTTTCATCCATTTTGAAGGGACGTCCAGTTCTTGGTAATGTCACTGTTGTACCATATTTTCTCCCACTTGATGACTGTCTTCACTGTGTTCCATGGTACATCTAATGCCTTTGAAATTCTTTTGTACCCTTCTCCTGACTGATAGCTTTTAACAATGAGATCCCTCTGATGCTGGAAGCTCTTTGTGGACCATGGCTTTTGCTGTAGGATGAGTTTATGAAAATGTCAGGAAGGTCTACTAGAACAGCTGAACTTTATTTGGGGTTAATTATAGGCACTTTAAATGATGGCAGGTGTATACTGACTCCTATTTAACATGATTGTGAATG